CCTCCGAAATTTTTCACGCCTCCTCTCGGAAGGATCCATTATGTTTTCTAGTGGCCGGGGACTACCCGAAGTAACGTCACGACGGTATAGGTATATCACTTGAGATGATAGATAAGCTGGTTTGAACAAAAGAATTTATAAAGGGACGAGGAACGACGGGCATTAAAGATTTTATAGGGAATGTATTCATTATATTGGACGTGGAAGGTGAACCTGTAGAGAGGCAGCGGCAGAAATACGGTAAAGATATCTCGTCCGCGGATTATTTCCCCATTTTTAATATTCGAATGGGATTGACATTCGAACAAATCGAGGGATAAAACAATTTGCATAAAATTAATTTGCAAGTAATTATATGCACGTCCCGCTTTAATAGTTTCATAATTAATAATTAAATTAACAATTGATTTAATTCAGTGCGGCGTGAACGAGAAGCGAAATAGGGTGGCTTTACTTATTGTTAGATATTCGCTCAGTACTTGATGTCTCGGCGCGCGTTTTCCATTTCTTCCGAAGATCATCCCGTCATCCGTTAAACTCCAATAAAGGGCGCGCGACACGGGGAAGCTTTCAAAGTTTGAAATGGTGTAGGAACTATACGGCACTCGTCGCTGCCAATCTCTCGTTCCTGCGATGGAACATGCGTTACATCATAATTGGATCACACGCTCGATTCTATCCTCAGCCCGCGCAGCTGAAACAGTCCAATCTTCCACTCAGACGACACTCAACTCAATATGTGGCAGCAACGCCGCTCGCAATTACCTCTTTAACTTCCAATATATCAGACAGCCGTCCAATTGGTTTAATCGGTGGAGGTGTTTTGTACACGTTCATACAATCCACGTCCACTGCCATCGTCGTCGCCCGGTTGGAGAAGCTACCTGCTTAAAGCGACGGCGGGTCCTTTCGTGACCGGACTACGACTTAACTTAGATCAGGAACATCCCAACTTCGCAGCGGGACTGCGTAATCCGCCCAGGTTGCTGACGATCAAACTCGGCGCTCCTCGACCCACTTTTACATTGGTTAAAGGAGCATCCGCACGTTTTCGAACTTCCTTCCCGAAAGTCGTGCCGCGGCAACTTCTCGCTTTAGCTTTACGCTTACGTTCCCGAGTTAGATTAAGCTGTCACAAGAAAAATCGCAAATCGTTCGAATCAAAGGGAAGAGGATTTGAGGTCTGCAATTTCTCATTCCCGAGCAATCTCGTCGGATTTTCCTAAATTCTCTCGCGGCGGGACTAAAAACTGGATTGGAAAACATATCAATCGCCGGTATCGCGCGGCGGCACTTTTTAAAGATTAGAAATGTTTGTACTCGGATCTGATGCATTCCGCTCGAAGCCCCGGCGGGAACTCATATTTCTCTCACGTTCCCTTCGCCGCTAACGATAATTAGCGAAGAAAGAGCCGTGCATCGTGACCGACCAGAGGACGGACCAACCGGTAACTTAATCGATCGTATCGATTAGGAAATATAACCCAATTCCAGCTAACCGATTTACTCGCACAAATGGATTAACCCGGCTTGGAGAGGGGCCACGGCGTGAACACGCCGAATTGCCGCTTACTCCGTTCCTTTCGCAGCGCATCCCCCGGCTTTGCTGTCTCTCCTTTTTCGTCGTTTATCTTGTTTTCAGCCACTCCCCTCGCTTCATTTGTCTGTTACGTGCAATCAAGAATCCAGTTGTCCCGACCGGAGCGCCGTACATCTATCCGGAGGCTCTTAGCCGAGCCAGGGAGTTAGATTTATTTCCCAGAAAAAATTTCTAGAGTTTCAGTTCCGGGGAAATCCAGCGGAATACGGAAGCACTCGCGAACCGCTGTAAATTAATCATGGGAGTTAATTAATGCGCGACAGAGAAAGTAACTCCAGCAAACTAATTTAATCAATAATATATTAGTCAATAATAGTACAAAATCAGATGAATTAAAAGGACTGTGAACCGTGGTAAGGTTTTAGTGTTAAAAATAATATATGAAAATTGCAAAGAATTTCGGTCTCTTTCTAGACCATTTTCAGTGTATAAAAGAATACAGTTTAAAAATTCGCTCGCAGTACATGATTACGTCGAATTGTAAAAGTAGTAGAATATCATTTGTTGTGTCAGTGTAGAATGTCTGTTAAAATGCGTTACATATTAATCATAGATAGAATGTTGTGGCAAACAGAAAGGCAGAGTCAACTGACGAATTTTTTAACTGTATTTTCATAGTTTATACACTGAAGATGGTCTGAAAAGTGACCGAAACGTCTGTTTCTTTGTAATTTTCATATTATTTTTGACATTAAAACCTTGTCACGGCTCATAGCCCTTTTAATTCGTCTGATTGCATTATTCGTCAGAGCCTAGTAATGTCTGTCTACATGTGAGCGCTTTAAAGCAAGCATCATTTAATATTAATGATACAAAAAATACAGAAACGTACATTGGGTAAAGCTACACGGAGAGAACTTTCTTTTAAAATTTTTCCTGAAAATTATACAATCGTAGGACAACACGGCATTTTGAAGAATTTTATGAGACTTTTTTTTAATCTTACCATACATTTCACCAGTAATTATACTTGGTATACAAAAAAACTCCCGTGTTGTCCCACGATCACACAATTTTCAGAATAAATTTTAAGTAGATAAAATTAAGAACCGTGCGCTAACGCTCCGCGTTCAAAGTTGTATATTTTTATCAAATCGTACTTTATCAAGTCATACTGCAATTGAATTATATTTGAAATATATCCACTACCGCGCGGATGATTCAGAGACGAAGTAAGACTACCCTTGGCTATCTTCCAGCCTAGAAAAAAAAATTCCCATTATTTCGCCATTAAGTTTTTTCCTCCCCGATTTTTGTCGGACGTCGAGCACACCGATACTTTTAGTAAATTAATTTTACGCCGCTTCGTCCCTAAGTTAATGATACCGCGGAAAAAGTAATATTTATTACGCGGGATTCCTTCTCCTCGGGTATCTTCTTCTTTTTTTCCCCGCCGCGTAAGAACAGCCCGGGACTTTTGCCAGTGGTATTTTTTCACGTCATGTCTGATTGCTTCCTGCTCTAGAAAATATGAGCGGACATTTATAGGATCGCGAAGCGTCGGGATCTAAGCGTGATTATTTATAGTATTTGTCAGACTGGGTTTGTTAAGCAACTTATAAATTACGCGCGGCATACGACGCGCCTCAACGATCCCTTCAAAGGAGGATGGAAACGCTCGTCTCTGAGTTCTGCAAGATGTCTGTCTCACAGCTTATCTTTACAAGTTCTTTTCGTGACATCTGTCACTTTTTGACAAACCTTTTCTCGGTTTAAAGCGATGGAAAATTGCAAACTGTAATAACTGTTGGAATCCGGTAGGTCTCGAGGGAAAAAATAGCTTGTTCTGCACAATTAAAATATTATTTTCAAACAATATAGAGGGAAGTCCTCTCTTATGAGGTAACAGGCTTTCAGCATCAAAATTTCATCGCAAATCTTTATTCACGACGATTACACCATCTAACAATCAATTTTCCACTAAACAGATGATTATTAATTTAGCAAAAACCCTGCTATCTCATAATAGGGGACTTTCCTCTATATTTTTGAGATTATGAGAAAAGACAAGACCCGAATTTTAACGTTCGATCGAATTGATTTTTGCTGAATAAGTAAAGATCACTCAACTGCTCTTGAAAGAAAGAAAAAGCGTTGGACGATCGATATATCGTGAGTATTGTATAATATATACACCTCGAGGAAACATCTTTTTTAAACCACTTTAAATCACTTCGCTTACACCCCGTGAAAGTGAAACGTTACCTTAAGACGATAAGTTCGGGATTAAATGCAACGTTCTGACTGCTTTCCCGTCGAACCCGGCGTAAAACCGACTCGAAAGAGATTTTTCGCGAGCATTCGATTGAAGCAGCCGCGCCTCGTGTTCGGGCTTTATAGTACGTGAATTTTTAAGCGGAAAATCCAATATTGGCGCCGCGGCGCATTGTTAAGTTCCCGCTTGTTTCCTTTTTCTGGTCGCTCCGGTCCTCCCCTTTTGCCCTTCCCTCTATCTCTCGCGTCCCTACCAGAGACGTACTGTCAATCGAGTTATTCTTACGGGATTTCAGCCGCGGCGCGCGCATAATGCTATTCATGAGTCCGCATGATTATCGGAAAACTATATTTATCCTGGGCACCATATTAAATCCCTGTTTCGACGTTGGCCTTTCATCCGGTCGGCTACGGCCACGCTTATCCCGGCCTCTCGACGAGGGGGACGAAGATAAATATCGTCGATGATGAAAATAAAATCCTTGACACGGGTCCGACGTGGCAGAGAGGGCCCGAACCCCCGCGTCACCCCCGCGAACGTCATTTTCCGAAAGCCCGCGGGTTTCGCGCGCCTCGCGCGGCCGATGTACGCACGGCCTGCCATGTCGGGCTTAATGGTGGCATCTGCATCTTTTATAAGCTCGGCGTTATCTGCATCCCCGCGGACGCGCATCGCCGATACCCCCATGGCCTGTGTACCACGACGCGACCATCGCCACCTCCGCTGGCGCACACGTGCGCCGAACAGATACCGGTCGTCGATTTATCGCCGGTGCGTATCGCCCTTCGGAGCGACGTCGGATCAAGCCCGGCTCTCGCCCCGGAGTACGTGCAGTCAACTCACCCATTTATTACCCCGGCGCGGCGCGATACGCCGATGAGTATCGGCACGAATTTAACTAATAATCAGAGGTAACCAAGACACATGGGAGATGCCAATCGACTCCGTTCTGATTCGCGATCGCACGTGCCATTTGTCATCGTGGCCGATCGTTCGACTCGGGCAGTCACTAATCGCGACGGGATCGAGTCATCGAGGTGGCCGACCCGAGCATCCCGATTTAGACGTATCATCTTGCGCAATTTAACACCCACGCGCACGCAGAGCGTAATCGGTTCACGTTACCCTCGTCGCGTCTACTAAACGGTATCCTAACGTATCTCGACCTTTTCTTGCTTGTTCCAGGCTTCCGCCACCGCAACAGCAGGTGACGGTGGGTTCGCTGGGCGGCGGTTTAGGCGGCGCCGGAAATGGCGGCACCGCCACAGTAGGCGCGCAAGGCCAAGCCATGGTGATGCCGGGTTTTCCGCTTCGTGCCGCAGCGGTGCCGCACTACTCCCCGTACTCGCCGTCGCGCTTTCACATCGATAAACGCTGCCAGCACAGGTGCTCCTGGAAATGCTTCTCGATCGCCCTGATCCTCCTGGCCGTGGCGCTGACGGCGATGCTGGCGTACTTTGCTGGTAAGTGATCGTCGCCTCGAACCCCCTAACAAACTTCAATAGGTAAATTGCGAATTCGCGCGGCTCCGCTACGCTCAGTACATCAGCCGGATTTTGGATTAAATATATGCCCGATTAGATTACCGTGCGCAGGACTAAGGACGTAACCGAATCTACATCTGTAACGCACGGGGAGAATGAGAGGCGGCTAGTTAATGCAGCCATTTCATAAATAATATTTGCCTCAATGTAAATTTGAATGAGCCGTTTTTATTAGTCCCATAGCGCACGTCCGAGCAGTAACATAGCCGCTGGCGGATAGTCCGCGCAATTCTATTGCTGGCTGACCCGAAATTCACGGTACAATAATTCATTATTAACTTGCAAATCTGGTTACGACTAACCCAACCCACCTAATGCTAAAATCCATCGGAACGTCGGCATTACTGCACCATGCTAATCCCTGTACGCACAGAGGGGGATTATACATATGACTGACACCATAACATTCCGCGTGAAGGCATGACGAATTTCGCGTAATCATGCAAATCATAACTAAATGAGATTCACAAATATTTGCGAATATAAAATTCATATTTTCGCTCCGCTTTGGAAGAAAAAAAAACGGTGTTAAGAGCGAGGCGAACGAATTTACTTATAAAAGCATCTTTCTCGATGTGCCGTAATAATAATTTGTAATACGGCCCGGCAGTGTAGATAATATGCTCAAAATTTCATAAATAAAAACAGAACCCGGTGAACAAAGCGTGAATAAAAACGCAGGCACGACACAGAATCAATTAAATTCGCGCGAGAGAAAGAGAGAGAGAGAGAGAGAGAGAGAGAGAGAGAGAGAGAGAGCCCTATCCGAAATATTATGCAGTGCAGTTGTTTTATTTTCTTTTGCAAACACATTGTGTCCGATACATTGACATTTTTCTTGCAGTGGCGGTGCACAACATTGCCGCGAGCCCGCGCTTCGTTTTATGTTATGTTAAAACATTTATCGCAAAGAGATATCGCCGAACGAATGTTGCTTTATTATAGATTTTCAAAATACCGCAAAAAAATAGTTTTCACGATATTCCGCATCTATTTTAAAGTAGAATATTTACATGATACACATAGAAGGGAGATACGCGTAAATGTAACATCGTACAAACACGTTTTTCGGCGCTCACTAAAATCCTCCCAAGGTCCTACAGTTAAGTTTAGCTGCTCTCATTGTTTAAATTATTATTACCGTATATCCGTAGAACGGAATAATATTTGAATATTGTACGACGTACATAGTTGTATTCGGGGAAAATTAAATACCGTTCAACGGCGGAAGTCCGGATCTTCTGTAGGAAGCGCAGCTACGGCGTAACATTGCCCGCGTAATGGTTCATTTAACACGGAGTGGTTGGCTCCATCCGGTTAGGGAGAGGCAAAAATATTGCCCGTCGATAGCGAGGAAGCGTTTCCGTGGTACGGGGTGCGTTTTACCCATAACACTCGTAGCTGAGGAACTACACACCGTGGCGCGTCGCTGGCTCCGGGGAAAGGGTGAACGCATTCGTATATAAATCGATACCACGCCTTTCTATCCGTTAATAACGGAGCGTCGCGAGAGACATAGAAAGGTACTTGGTATCGGATAGCGATAACGCGCTTTCGGTATCCCCAAATATCAATTTTTTGTTTAATTTTGGCTGCACTCGTCGTGGGGAAACGGGATTATCAGAATTTAAAAGTACGTGTCTTTGCTAAACGAATCGGGCAATTTCGCAGGGCAATGGCCTACCCGACGTACAAATCGATATCCGTGCAACTAACGGCGCACTACCTCGGTACGCCCTATGGCTAACATTGGTAAACTTCGCTGCATAAATAACAACGGCGAAAGCCCCGCGATGTATGTAAACGTGAAATCTTACCGGAGCTAAACACCACGACAACATTCTTGCCGTTGGTAGCCGGCTCTATTAACGAGCTCGCGGCAAGAAAGCGAGAGACAAATCGCCCTCGTTGATCCACGTCGTTAAGATCAACGTTGAAAGAACACCACGTTAGGTTATCGTTACTGCAAAAAGGTCTCGGAAAATGGCTCCACTAGGTCCGTTATGCTAATGCGGGAGCCGGCGGGGTGCGAGGCCGAAGATACGCGCGAACGGGCTTGAAGATCGCCGCATCTCTACGGTGCCGAGTCCGATTAGAGGAATTAATGCTTGTCCGTTATCAGCGCGCAACAGAAAGGAACCTGCTTTCTTCCCTCCCTGCCCCTTCCCCACCTTGGCGCAGCTCGCGTTTTTGCATCTCGCGAAAAGTCCGAAAATCCGCGCGATAATCAAGAACCGACCTGCGAACATATTAGACTTCATCATTCGAGACTGCAGGGACTAAGGGGATTTGAGGGCGAGGGGGGGGGGAAGAGAACCTTTCTTTTCCTTTCGCCTTTCGCAAGGGTTTGGACGGGGCGAGCGGCTGGGCCGCAACGTGTTCCGCGAATCTGTGTAACTCCCCTCCGGTTCTCCACGCAGCGGAACTGTCCACCCCGACTTCGGCGTCCATGTTCTTCTTCCACCTCCCGTTCCTGCGTGTCGCGGGAAGAGAGAGAGGGACGGCGGAGACTGCAAAGTCGGTTCTCGGCCTCGAGGAGACTGCTCGCCAGCTGTTATTTCTGCATTCCAGTAAATCGAGTCTGGAATCCAATCTGCCTGTTTGCTACTGCATCCAAACTACCCCGCAGCTCCCAGCGTTGCCCCTCTCCGTCCTCCCTCGCGCCCGCGTCTCTTTTACGGTCGTTGCAGGTCTGTTCGCCCTCTCCCGCGAGCGCGCGCGCACACACACACGCGCGCATGTGTGTACACCCTCGCGAGACTCGCGAACCCTCCCTCCTCGTTTCGTCCCTCCGCCTCGTGCCGGAACGCACGAATTTTGCATGCACGCGAGTTGCCTTGCTTTTCGGTAATTTGACGTATGTCTGCTTGCTCGCTCGCCCGCTCGTGGCCCTCACAGGGTCAAATTCGTTTCGCGACAAGCCACTTCCGACGCGGACCTCTTCCACGGTTTCATTTACAAATGACTAACGAAACCGTCGCCGCGATAATTCCTCTTGACAGACGGTCCCGAGGCTGAAACTTCAGTGGCGAAACTAGAAAATCTTGTTTGTCACTTGTAATTATTTTCAACCGGGCGCACTTGTAAATCCTCGTCAGAAGTAAATGATAGATGTTTTCCAAATCATGGAGAACGTCCGTCACCTTTTTTTTCTGACAGGCGCCTAATTTTTAAGGGCGCAATCACCAATATCTCCACAAAGGAGCCGGGAGAGTGGGGAGTTGCCGTACAGATTCACGGGACACAATGCGTCCCGGCTATTTGTGTCCCTTCGTCCGCCCGTCAAATCCCCTTAGCCCCCTGCATCCTCGGATAATAAAATCTAATACGTTCGCGAGACGGACGCTGACCGTCGCGCAGATCTCATTTCAGATCCCCCGTACGGAAGGTCCCTTAATTATGACCGCGAACTATCGATACAGCGTTGAAATAACAATTTTTTTTCCACGGGGTGTTTGTTATTGAAAAACCGCAATACCATTCGTCCGCTTGTGTTTTCTGTCGCGAGAAAACATTATTACCACGCCATTAATAGTTAACTCGTCAATAATAACGACATTGTAGGCAGCTCGATAACGCTGTCGTGTCTGGACTCACGCTTCGCCGGATCGGAACGAAAGGGTAGACGGATCGATTGTAAACATTTCATTATAACGTACGAGCGGAAGTGGGCGGTAGAACGGACCGGCCGGGGTGGCGGCGGGATAATCCTACGATAATCCGGGAATCATTCTCGGGAATGAATCGCTCTATCGATCCGGGGGTATATAATTGAAAAAGTTGTTCCTTTGCGCCCTCTCCCTCTCCTCCTCCTCCTCCTCTCTTCCTCCTTCTCCCTCCCCCCCCCCCCACCCCCGGTGAACGTGCCCGCTGTCCTTCACAGTCGCGCCCGCCTTTTCCATCCCCGCGAAAGCAAAGGGGGGCAGGCGGCGTGGCGCAGCGACCGTGGCTCGCATTATGGCCATTTTAAATTTCCGGTGGCTCATCGTCAAAACTTGGCGGTCTCCCGATCCATATATTGGATTTTGCGATGACTTCGTTTCGCAGTATTGTCCTTACAGTTAAGCACACGGGATGTCTCGGAGGTCGCAGCTGCCGGTAGATTAAATTGCTTAGAGATCCCGAGTGCAAGCTCATTTTGCATTCGCTATCCGGGGTTCCTAATTTACAACGTCAAATATTTTAGGAACGGCCACGATATTAAAGCGTTGCTGAAATAAAGTCCCTACGTAAGATAAATTGAGAAACCTCGAAGCCGCGCTGCGTATCGAAGATAGAAAAACTACTTCCAACGTAGGCGCACACGTCGGTGTTTAATGTATAGAATAATCGTCTCCTTTTTCCTACTACCGCGATACTCGGTATCGCACAGAAAAAAAAGAGAATGTCCTTCTTTTGAAAATATGTTTAGTTTCAACGTGAAAATCTTGAAAAGAGATTATATTGCGTTAAGGGAAGAAAAACTTACTCGAATAAAGATATGCTTATTATTTAAGAATAATTTGTTTGAATGGAAAGGAAACAATGTTGGATAGAAAATAACATATTAAAAAATCGAAGATTATAATGATTTTATTGTCAAAATAATTATATGTATTCTTGAAGCGACAATCACACAGTACTTAAGCAAGACTGTAATATCGTTGGAACGTAAGATCGTTAAATGCTTCTAAGAAGATTGTAGATTATTGCGTGCACACGAAACAATGTAGGCGTTAATTTGAGTATACAAGAGTTGATTTGACACTTTTTTTTTCTGTGTGTAGTATCTCCGGGTTGCCGCGTGATTTTTTTAGACATCCAGCGCGATATGTGGAAAGTTGGATTGCTGAGTTGCAGCGACGTGAAGCGGGAACGAAAACGATGCCACGCTGACTGGCATATACGCGAAATAAGGTCATTCACAGTTCACTGCAACTCAATTTCAACGATAGTTACATGGCGGCCAGGCAACGCCGATCCCGAAGGAATAGTCGCTCTTTTCCGGTCATTTCGCCTATCTCCGGTCTGACGTGCGTACATGTGTACACGTATACGCTCGTCCGTGCCCGTATGCGTGCACACACGAAAAACTTTTGCGTGTGCACGCGCAACCTCCCCGCCCCCGCCCCCGCCTCGCACGTATCGCGCGCGCACACAGCAGCTCCCTTACTTCGAGGAAACTTGTCAAGGACTATCGTCCGCACGGAAGACTTTTCTATGGCCGAAGACAAGTTATTGCGAAAAGTACCGGGGGGAATTAGATAACAATCTGCATTTATTAAATTATCTAGTTTAAACTTTGGCGCGCTTGCGATGCTATCTCTTTCGTATCAAAGCCAAATATTGGCCCTCAATTTTACCCCCGACGCGCCGTATTTTCCCCGCGTGTTTCGGGGGCTGCGTGCGGGATATAATAAAGTAACAATGTACAGCACAATGGCAATTTCGGCTAGAAACGAGGCGCAATAACGAGCGCTATTATCGCAGACAGAAAGCTTATACGATCGGCGATGCGACAAATCGCGGGGCGCGAAAACGCGTCCATTAAATATCGGCGCCAAGTGTATCGGCGAATCGCGATTTGTCAAATCACCCGCGCGGCAATAACACGCGAATTCAATTATGCGTTATCGATGTTTTGTTGCGTTGATAAGCCAAGAGGTCGTTAGGCGGAGGATGAGGGGGTTGCGTTGGCCCGGGTCTGCTCCTCTTTTTAAAAACTCTCGTTAAACCGCGTAATTAATTCGTGGCGCTTGTGGCGCACGAGACAGATAATTAATTAAACCGCAATATCCCGCCACGGATAAGGGTTTTATTGCCAAATTTATCATGGCGTTTAAATTCAACCAACTTGCACTTATCGCTCAGAAAACGTTAATATAAATGACCTGAAATTCCAGGTAACTACTGATATAGCATCAACATAATTGGATCTCGGATTATATCGACCGATATTAATTGGTCTTTGGGGAGTCTTCGTCTGAACACTAGACATCCTAATCGTTTGTCATTGGGCATACAGTAAGAATCATTGAACTGATCCTCGATCGTCAACGCTATTTTGCTCAAGTTCGTGCACCGAAAGAAAAATCTGTTTGATTAGAAACCCGGTAGACTCAACCAGTCGTCTGTTAGAAAATGGACGAATCTATCTATGTGTAGTCTATCAAACTTCTGGCTGTGAAATATCAAGTTCTAACGTGATAACTAGACATTCCGTCTGGTTTAACCAAAACACATTCTATCATACATGGCTTGTTGATACAACCAAAACATTTTTCTCAGTGTAAAAAAAAAGGTACATATAGACTAAGGGTCTATTGTAGCGTGTACCATTCGAGAATTCTTGATCTGATGAAGCAATATCGCACGCTCGATACAACCGTGAGACCTCGAACTTTATTACACGGCTACGTTGCTTTAAAAGTTACTCGAGCAGGAAGGTCGGGAATGTCATGGGAAATCTAGTGTGCCATCGTAATTCGAAAGCGATTGTCCGAATTTATGAACCCATTAGGCCGCTGCCAGACGGTTCGACTAAAGCCATTCTTGATTCCTGATGCTATAAAAGCGTCGCGCGGGCAACGCTATTTCGCCCGGAATACCAGTCGTTGCAAATATAACGTCCGCGTCTACGCGCGATTGCGCGCGAGACGTCTCCGCGCCCAGCGGATTTTCATCTTTCTCTTGTCCTAAAGCGAATGCCCTTTGTTTACTTTCCAGCAGTGAGCTCTATGCGCCCGATAGACAGCACCAACTGCATTCTGGTTCAAGATATCAAAGCTGTCACTCACGAAAACGCACACATCCACGACTCGATATCCACGCAGATCCCCACAGAAGGTAAATATCGAGCGGTATTAATTTGCATCTACTCTGCATGATGTAAATACTCTCGCGTACAGCGTCATACGCTAATTGCTTTTGGGAAGCGCGAGTGGATGAACGTTTCATCAATATAATATCTTTAGCAAGGACTATATCGCCACGCATCCAAATGTCATCCGCTGTAAAGATTTCACACTACGAATTGCACCAATAATTCCGAAAGATAATTGAACATTTGAGGTACATTTGACACACTTGATACGAAGACAAACTGAGGGACATGGAGCAATAAAAAGATAAAGAGACCGCTTGAAACAAATGTCCGGTTTAAAGTTAATGTTTGACGATATTCTTTGATGAATAACGTTTCTTTCTCAAAGTAATACATTTTAAAATAAAAATATCTTTTTTTAATTGTTTGCTCATCAAAGCTACGCATTTTACCATGTTACGACCAAAAGGGACAAGTCCTCGTACAGTAGCATAAGTCACAAGAGTAAAGGCCTGTGTCCACGATGCTGG